TAGTTATTTACTTTTATTCTGCATAATCATCTACTTGTTTGTATTTATTTTAGTTCATCAGAGGAAAATGAAACAAGAAAGATTAATAATTATTAATAATTGTAGGTCATAATATGAAACGAAAAATAAAGTCACTTTTGAACAAGAAAATCTTTTCGTTTCTCTTCTATTCAAGTGTTATTATCATTTATCTTTTCTCATTCATTATATATCCATTTTGAAGGAAATTCATAGGATTAAATATAATAAATCCAAGAAACAATCCTTCAACAGTCTATTTAGATTAATAACAAAGATAAATGTGTATAGAATTCGTTATAGTTATTTACTATAAGAAAGTTTTACACCATCAAATAACATTATTAAGGTTCTATTTTTAAGGTTAAACAGTTTAAAATAGTTGCTTTAGTACTCGGCAAGAATATTTGGTAAGACATCTGCAAAAAAGAGGAGGCAACGGCTCAATAAGAAGTTCTATAATCGAACACCTTGTGAACACAGGTCACTCAATCAAGACAGACTCTGCGTTCAAAGTCATCTACAAGGTAAGTAGAAGCCTTCCTAAGACAATTAGACTGCATCTTCTTTGCATTGCCGAGGCAATAGCCGTACATTTTGAAAAACCAGAATTATGTGTACAAAAGAGACTGGTACAACCTCTTCTTCTACCATGGTCTTAATGTATTAAATTTTTTTTCAATTTCTTCATATTCTTGTTCCCTTACAGCCACTTGCTTCACCTTACATCTTCCCTTCAAATCTTCTACCCCCAACCGGTTAGTTTTTATTTCCACGATCATTCCGATCACATTTCATCACTGTTTCAACATTTTATTTTATCATGCTGAGCCATCCTTACCCAATGAATACTTCAGCCATTAACTACCAAACGATTATTAAAATTTCCTTGTTTAAAAAATATATAGAACAACATATATAAGCGAACAATATTGTTTTCGATTAGATCCTCATCAGGCTTTACTCTAATATACAGTAATATTTATATGCATATAGGAAATTATTAAACCAATCAAGGTAGTTTATAAGTCAATGATAACAATGGAGAAGATTACATAATAAGTAAAATGTGAAAAGTACAAATTGATGGTGTTACAACAGGTGCATTAGTTTTGATAAGCAATAATAATAAAGGCTCAAATCAATGTTGCATAATCTGAAATAGGTCAATGATTAGAAGAATATAGAAACTGAGATAACGATTATAAAATTATGAGAAATGTTCAGATAATTGGACCATGAAACGTATAGTTGAGAGAAAATAAAGTGGTAGGAGGGTGTGAAGAAAAATAATAAACGAAGAGAAAGTTAGAAAAGGAATAAATAAATAAATAAATTCATTTATTACTTAAGGCCAAGGGAGAGATAAAGGAGTTACAAATTTCTTCTGAACACAAAGACTTGGCTTGTTGGCTCGGATTCCTATAGCTTCTGCTATGTGTAAGAGACGAGATCGAACACCATAAGGAAAACTAGTGGGAATCCGATAAATAACTTTGAACGACTTGTTTCTGTCCACTATATGACCACTATCGATCAAGTGTGATAGACCCGAGCTGCGTAATAATAAATAATTTTTAATACCTTTGTTTATTTAACCTCACTGTCACCATGTATAACAGTTTATTATCAGTATTATTATCACCCTGTAAAAATAAATGTAATCTAAAGACTGAATCACAAAAAAATTTTGATCATATGTGTTGAAATTTACCATAAGTGTATTTCAATATCACATGTAAATATTCTTCAAAGAAAAGTTGAATTCAAACATAAATATGAAGACATTTTTCTTCACTAATTAATATAAGCTGGTGAATCCTACAGAAAAAGACATTACTGAGAATTTGTTTCGCTCAAAACTGTGATTTTCCCACTATTAGGCACCTATCAGTCAACAACATAGTTGCGATAACATTAAGTGTTGAGCTTACATTTTGAACATTAATTAGTTTGAGTTATAGTATAATCGTCATCAGATAAAATTGCTTGATCTATGTCGCTCCCAATATAAATGAACAAAAATGGGCATACATAAAAATTTACAATCGTCTAAAGATCCCCATCATATTTAAAGACTAATACTTAAAAGAAGAATATTCTTCACGATAAATTTTCTTCAGGTTTTACAATTATATATCCAAATTATTAATTCAAAAAATGGTCAGATTAAGAACAAAGTGCATCGTTTAAAGTTATAGGATTGTCAAGCAAAATAGAATAAAATTGTTATTGTTGAAATGACTAATATGGAATATTGATTTGAATCAGCTTATTTATCGGGTCAGTAATTTTTCGCCAAAGTTTATCAGACTGCAGTAGCCATCCAGATTAAGAAACCGGAGCTATGCATAGAAATAAAATATCTCCAACCCCTTCTCCTCCACTAGACAACCTCAAGGCCAATTAATCAATAGTAATCTTAGCTATTGTATGACCTAATTTGACCATTGTACTTACGACCTTTCGTATTCAAATGTAATTGTCTCCGTAAACTTTATTCACAAATCTTTGTATTATTATTATTATTGGTTAAAGATCGTTATTAATCTCCCCAATACATAATTCATTTACTTCGCATTCATCCCACCTTATTATGTCTTACTTATAATTTTTTACACAATATAGTCTTCCACTAAACATTTGATCGAATCGTAATTGCACTATTATTTCTCTCATCCTATTTGACTCATATTTAATCGTTTAAAGATCCCCATCATATTAAAAGACCAATATTTGAAAAAAGAATATTCTTGATGACAATTTCTTTTCAGGTTCTATAATTATATATCCAAATTAATAATCCGAAAAATGGCCAGGTTAAGGGCAAAGAACATTGTTTAAAGCATGTGAATTTAGGAGGAGGAGTCCCATACTAGGACGAAACGGCCATCCAGTGCTTCCAGGTTTTCCATGGTGGTCCAGCTTCAATTGGCTCATGAATTTAACTATTAAATTTAAAAAAAACTATTTTAATTTTTGTTTCATACTAGTGGAATAAAAACTCGGTAGGTGTTGGGACATATTCAATTTATTCAATATCTACTGAAAGCAAAATGCCACATATAATTAGTGTCATTGAATTAAGTAAACTAGTTATTAGTTGAAGTGGTTTTAAGCAGTGATAAAGTTCATCCGTTTCATTTAGTTTGTTAAATTTTACAAGTCTAACGATTGCGATATTAAGGCTAAAATATTCTCAGATAAATATCTGAAATTACGTTTGGAGTTCAGTTTAGTGATTCGTTGAAAATGTTTGTCGTTTGGTTAGACTAAGCTTCTTCAAAATTGCTCAACGTTTTTCTTTGAGTCTCTCAGTTTATATCTTATAAAATCTATAAATGAGCATATCAGTCATCAAAAGATACTTAGAAATCATTGGTGTAGATTGGTCTCTAATCTATCACTTTCTTTCAATAAAACATGTGCTCTAACTGGAAATGTAATACAAAATACAATACTGATAAAAATATTCAATTATTTTGATGGAATTATAAAAAATACGTATGCCATATCTAGCAGCTTTTTGTCAAGTTCAGTCATATCAAAAGTATCCATAGCTCTTCTCCAAAAACGTCACCTCTCTTCAAGTACTAAGTGACATAAAAAAAAACAATATCGACGAGGTATATTCACTATACACACATTATTATTATTCGCACTGGTTTGTATCTTTTCACTGTTGACATTTAGGTCTACGTTCGATCAAACTTTTTTGAATGAAAATCTTTATGCATTACACGCTATCACCAGCTTATTATAATTTTAAATACTGGCTGGTAATAAAGTGTAAAACATGCATCTCGTCTAATACAGATCTCATTCTCTAGCTGTGTCCGAATCCCACCGTTGTTATAAGTGCAGTCATTGAAAACTGAGCACGTTTACAAATGAATGATTAATTGATCTATTAACAGTAAAGATGTCAAACAATAATGATCATCCACTTGGTATTGTTTTACTTGAATCTTCCCATTGATGTTTTAGGACTGAAATTGATCAGTCTCCCCATTGCACAAGCAAGTGGCTATCAGGACTCAGTAGCTGAGTGGATAACGCGATGGCGTTTGAAGCGAATGTTACTGAGTTTGAGTCCCAGAGTGAACATCAACTCTGAGATGCAGGTACATCCAGCTGACGAGTCCCAAATAGGATGAAACGCGCGTCCTGGATTACACTGCTAGCCACTATTCATCTTTGCTAATAATGATCATCGCTCTATCATTGAAACATAATTCGCACATAATTACTAAACAGTAAACAGAAACATATATGTTCAAATGTGAATGTGTTAATCAACAAATATGTCCAATTGGATAGTCGGAAATGCTAACAATTCAAGAAGAATAAGTGAATACCAAAAACAGTAAATCGATCGAAACTGTAAACTATATTCATCAAATATGATTCAATAATAATTCATTTTTTCAATGGTTAAGATCATGAGTCAGTTGAAGCTAGACCACCATGGAAAACCTGGAAGCACTGGACGGCCGTTTCGTTCTATTGTGGGACCCCTCAGCAGTGCACATCCATGACCTCGCCCCCTGCGAGATTCGAACCCAGGACCTACTGGTTTTGTGCGCGAGCACTTAACCACTAGACCACTGAACCGGCATCCAACGGTGTTAATGTCTAACTTCAACCAATCCACGAAGTTGCGCCACCGTACACCATTGTCTTCAGTGAGTTGATATCTCATAATAGACCTGGTCGAGCTCCACTGGTCACTACTTCTCACTAGAACTCCAGGATATACCATTTGAAGCCAGTCACTAGTGAGCATATGTTGATTAATATCAGATGGGTTTTTTGTGGATATCATAGTAATTTCAATGGTTAAGATCATGAGTCATTTCTTTTTAATAATTAAAAATAAACGTTTTTCTTATTAATACACAGTACAAAACTATTTTGTTTAAATTTTTTCATACAGCATTTCATATGTTCTATTTTGTTTATTTTTTAAAATTTATATTTAGCTGTATTTAAAGATTTTCTACGAGAATTACCAGAACCCTTATTCACCAGTGCATTATATCCAATGTTTTATGATGCCATGCAAATAGCATTGCCTGGATTTACACAAAGTGGTGCAAAACTTGTACTGAATATTTTAGACTGCCTACCAGCAAATAATCAGGTAAGCAGTTATATTTTAGATGCAGTTTTTCCTGTACGTAGTTTGTTTTCTACATAATAATTAGAAAACGATGTGTTTTTAACACTAAAAAATTTAGGCTATTTGAATAACACAATAAAGACTGAATTCATGAATTATTTGAAGCTGGACCACCATGGAAAACCTGGAAGCACTGGACGGCCGTTTCGTCCTACTATGGGACTCCTCAGTGGTGCGCATCCATGATCCCGCTCGCGAGATTCGAACCCAGAACACATCAGTCTCGCGCACGAATGCTTAATATCTGGACCATTGAGTCAGCATCAAACTGTTTTAATGTATAACTTCAATCAATTCACGAAATCGTGCCACCGTTCACCATTGTCTTCAGTGAGTTACTATCTCACAACACACCTGGTTGAACTCTACTGAATTCGAATCTTGTGAGGTGATATGGTGAGTTAACACTGCTGAGGAGTCCCACATTTGGTTGAAACTTCCATCTAGTGCTTCCAGATTTTCCATGGTAGTCTAGCTTCAATTGACTCATGAATTCAACTATTTAATTACTATAATATCCACAAATCCCGTCTCTGACAATAAAGACTGGTTAAGTTTACAAGTATTTTCTGTATATCTTCTGAAGACTGATGAAGCAACAAAAAGAACGCAGTAGAATACTGCTTTGTTTCAATCTTTAAAAATGTATGTCCTGAACTGTTGAGAAAAATTTAACCCACGATGAAAGAAGTGTCCAGTACATCATAGTTTGATAATTATTCTAATACTCTTATACGGAACCTTCTTCAAATATATATTTATTTAATGACATGTGTACTTCATCAATAAATCATAACACAGTGACATTCTACTTATGATCATAGTGCCCAGTATGATAATCAAATCTTTATTAATAAATGAATTTATAAAAGACTAAATCATTTTGAGTAGGGAGTGTTTTTTTATAATAATTACAATTTACTTTTTATTTTATCTTGAATAATTGAACTGTTTACAGTTAGATTTCACAAGTAGCTAACAGTTACGTCTGATTATTGTTCAATTCAATAGTTTTCAGAAGTAGTTATATATTCTGATCAATTATTATTAGTAAGAACGATAAAGAAGAAAGTAAATTAACCAGATATTACTTTGTTCAATCGTATGTATAAGTTGATTCGTTCAAAAAACCGTTTGTGACTATGATAACGTTGTAAACTTTCAATGAAAGACACACACGATTCACAAACGAACAAACAAACAAATGTGAAAGATGAGAGTTTTTTTCTGAAATCCAATTTACGAACATCTTGACTAGATATTAGACGCTTTACATATCCAGTCTATGGATGAATTTTTATAATAAAAAAACATTTAATGACGTTAAAAAATTCATTTTGTACTTTCTACAACTTTATCACTGGTGAACCTAAAAAAATAATCCATACAAAAAGAATTTCAAATGGTTAATGAAAGTGTTCGAAATTAAAATCCTTTATAGACAGGTAAATTTGTAATCATTTACTACTCATAGTGACTCTATAGCCAAATTACTCATAGCTTAAATACATAAAATGCTTTATGCTAAATTTTAAAAAAATATTGAAATCTGCAGAACAACATGTAGACTATTCAAATTAGAAGTATTTGACTATCTTTCCACACAAATATGTCATTCTATTTAGAAAATATGCCAATCAGCCATCAAATCTTGGTATAACTTTTCATTTTCTGGAAAATTCAGATATTCTTTTGGTGTTTTTCATTAACTAACATTTGGTCACACTTTAAATCGTATTTGTTTCCAATTGTTAATGCACTCAACAATAAGATTATCTACGGTTTCTTGATTTTTTTAGTCTCTACATTGAATATCTAGTTATAACGAAACTTATTTTTTGATGGGGCCCTTCATTTTGACGTCAATTAGACCACACAATGACGACGAACTCACTACTTTAGTGGCCCGTGATCTGACTCCAGTTTGATCGTTTTTTATTGCTAATGGGATATATATATCGCAAATTCTCGTATATATCGTCGACTTATATCGCGTTAGTGAATAACTGAATTAAATAAGTCAAATACGAGAATAAATTTCGAATACGTATATTTCACACAATATTTGATCCAGACAAAATATCGGAGGAGAGAGAGAGCGAAGCGAAATGACGCGCAGTGAAGAAGGCTCATGAGCCAACTCCATTTAGTCAAGCGTTAATCAATATTCATAGTCACACACAAGCTACAGAAATGTGATGAATGGGATAAGAATTGCACACACATATGCGCTCATGTAAAAACAATCAAGATTGATAAGCGAATAATTAATAAAGTCAAAATATGACTCAAATAGAATGAATAGATTGACCTATCCGAAAACTAGAGTTAGGTATGTGGGCTTAACGTAATAACCGACACCACAATGTCATGTAATTTTTATGCAAATGCATCAAAATAAGTTTTCAGTTAGTGAAATATCATTATTAATATTAAACGGATACAAATTTATGTGAATTCATTGTGATATTTCCTAATTACTGATCTAACATTTATTTGATACTTTGGTGAAATAATTTCAATTCGAGATTAAGGTATTTCTACACAACTTGAAAATTTTGAATACCAATAGCAGTGATATTACAGTACAGAGAAACTGATTTCAAAAGAATAAAATGTGTTTATGTACTTATAACGAATCGGACGAACAGGAAATCTGTAAAGACTAAAAGATCTACCATGAATTTATATTTTAACCACCGAGAAACTACAGAATTATTGTTAACAATGAATATCATCAAACATGAAACCAAAGTCTTAGACTTTGTATTCCTTTTTAATACATCCTAAAACTGCACAACATAATCAATGAGTAAATGCGGTTCGAAATATACAATGATCTCTTTTACTATGGCTGTCTCAAAGTTTGAATCTCCGAGTTGAAATTCAGTAACCATACTGGGATCTCCATTTTGAACCATGAGCTGTCTTTCAATGAGAAAAACTGCTATAGAACTTAAATTGTGACAGGTGTATGACTGTTATAAGTTTAGTACCAAAAAAGAAAACTAAATGACTAGATTTTAGTGCCTGCTTCAACTTCAGGCTAGCTCATCATTCTCTACAAAATCTTTAAACGTCTTTAGACAATATCCCAAACAAAATTATTTTAACCGAGCAGCTCAGAAAATGGATAATGTTTTGCAATGTTGGAAAAAACATTCAACCACCGTTAGTGACAACATCTATTCTATCAAAACTTCAATCGAAGCTAAACTTAAACAATCAAGTTTTTGACACATTTATTTAAATAATTGCCTTGACTTCAATGAAACATGTTCATTACTAGCAATTAATTCTAGTTTTCATGACCTTAGTGAAAAGTTGGACAGTTCAATAGTACCATCTCTATTTCAATCTCTGTACAAGATGATTTCAAGTCTAAAAGTGAGAATAAGCATACATGAACGTCAACATCAAATCTCATTTAAGTTTTCGAACCTACATAAACTTTAGCGCCAGTATATATTTCAGGATTAACGCGGTGTACGTTACATCCCTATATTAGTTTCGAATGATTAGTCACTGATTCGTAAACTTGATCGATATATCATGCCCACAGGTTTACATTTAATGGGTAGGTAATGAGTACAATCTTTTTAATTTAATCTTCTAACCAACACTTCACGACATAACATTCAGTATTTACTCTTCATAAGCAAAAAATAAAGCGATTCTAGAATGCTAATGATAAATCCATTTTATTAACTATAATAACGTAAGTTAAAGTGTTAAATATGGAGCAAGTAACTTTATCCCTTTAATTCGATACGTAACCTAAATTTTTCGCCAATGAATCCTCTTAATCCTATAAGGACAAACAATCTATATTCAATTAACGAAGAGTTGTTGAATATGAACTACGAATTATGCATGCGTCCCATTTTACATTATATATTTTATGACTAAGAACGCTTGTCAGCTGAAAGTAGCACTAATTGCTTATGAGTAACCATTTTAGTAATGTTTTGACATAACCCTGTATTGGTCATCAGGTAGAAATTTAATGAGCAGTGGTTGAATATTGTTGTGGTCACTCGTCATTAGTTTTTGTCTCTGTATGATGGACAGTTTTAATTAGCGCTGGTGAGAAGTCGCGAAATAGAATGAAGTAGCTACACAGTACTTCTTATCTTTTAGGATGACAACTATCTTCTGATTTATTGAGTGCCCATGAAAATACTTAATTAAACAGCAAACTTATTTGAACTGTAGACTTGAAGATGTTAATTTTATGGGTACCTTGATTATATTCAAAACCGTTTTACCTAGGTTCACTGAAAATAGCCTTCTAAGAACATTTTAAGTGATTTTACTTATCACTCTAGTTTGAACCCTATGAGGAGCCTAACACTTAACTTGGAAATTGTGCTGATATCTCACACAAATACTTTAATCAACATTTTTGATCATTTGTTCTAAAAAATTATCATACAGACTATATGAACGTTATCAATATGATTCTGTTACTTAAGTCATTCTCCTCTGATAATTTTCAAATTTGAACATAAGGCAAAACTTTCTTCAAACTCTAACTGATGGAGAGCCTTCCATTACTTATATAGGACCTTCCATTGAAGACGGATGAACGTAGAGACAAGTAAGAATAAAAAAATAAGGAGGTATTTCGTACGGTTTTGTTATCTTATTTAGATAAAATTGTCAAATTCGTGTTATCGACTATTACAGAATTTAGGTATGATTCTAGATTTGTTTAATCACCAGTTTTGTGAAATAAAATAATTATGGTAAATACTTAGCAATAGATAACTAACTACTTATCGTTTTATTGTTCTCGAAGACAATGTTATCCTAAATACAAGGGAGAGATGATCAACTGCATATCTTCTACTGTTCGTTTGTCTCAATTTATTGGTCTTTCATCTTTTTCCTCCTTTATTTGGCATGATATTTCCTTTTCCATTGAAAAACGTTTTGTAAAACTTCCTTATGATATAAAA